AAGGAAGTGATGTTAGGAAATGAGAGTGAAAGGAGTGATTCTGAAGTAAAGGTACCATGTGGATTTCTTTTTTAAATTTAGGATTATATTCACTACCAGAGAAGTTTAGATCTTAAAAAAATACTTAATACATTACCTTTAAATTAAAAAAAAAAGTTAAACTCGCAACAGAAATTTGAACACTTAAGTTTTGCAGATACTCAGGAAAACCGGTTCCACTTTGACAGCTTGGGCTGAGACATGTACTTACCGCAGGGTAAAAATACGGTCAGTGCAGGGGCCTGGGTTCAAAGCGTGCGCAAAACTGCGTGTGAAATCACCGCGGTCCAGGGGCCTGCCAGACCTTCGTAACTCCAGGATTGAAACTAGAGCGGTACTTTTGGCAGATTTGCAGGACCAGTATTAATGCAATTTTGCAGATATTGTACAAATAATATTTTTAGTAGAATGATCTAGAAAAATAAGAATAGAGGCTGCTTGTAGTTGGCAGTTAAGGGAACTGGGATAGGTGGGTACACAGGTGTTTTTAATGGAAGAAATAGTACCAAAATTATAGTTGTGCCAGAAAAGTGATTGTAATATTTACATTTACTTTAGTATACATAAGTTAATTTCCTTTTGTAATTGTTAAATTATAACATGGCTTTATGAAATCTTTGACTTTGTTTTTCTTTTAGAACTTGTTGTCTGATGATAAGTTTTGCAAAGTTGTTGGCCATTTCAAAGCAAACTTTTCATCAAGTATTTCTACTCTAAATGGGTATCAACTGTTTATTCTTCATGACATGATAATTTGCTGATTGCAACAAGCTTTTTTTTTTTTTTAAGTCCTCACAGGAGGGTATTTTTCCGTTGCTTTTGGGAGAGAGGGGAAAGGAGAGAAAGGGGGGCGGGGGAGAGACGAATCGATGAGACACATAGATTGGTTGCTTCCAGCACTTGCCCGGACCTGGGCCGGAGATGAGCCTGAGACCAAGGTATGTGCCCTTGGCCTGAATCAAAACCAGGATTCTTCAATCCAAGGGCCAGCACTCTAACCACTGAGCCACACCAGCTAGGGTGCAGCAAGCTTTTAAATTAGTTTATGTATATATGTCATATCTTCAAATGCTCAGTGGACTAGTAATTATTTCCTCAAAGGAGAGATGAATTCTTTGCTTTTAGCTGTTGTCAAAAGATTAATTCCCTTTTCTTTAACTGATCTATATAGTTGAAGTTTACATAGTATTTCTATTGTTTATATTTCAGCTTATCCTCACCAGACTGAGATCCTCTAGAGACCTTGTCTTCATACTGAGTTCCGAATAAGTCTTGGCATTAAAAATTTAGTTAACATCTATTAAGCAGCATCTTAATGTTACTGCAAAATCAAAAAAAGAAATTGTTAGATGGAGTTGTACAATTAATATATCAGCATGTTTAATAGTTATTTTTCTTTCCCTTTGATAGTTCTCACAATCACTTAGTTGCAAAGAAAATCAATTTAATGGTAGAGCTGTTTCTCTAAGGCAAGAAAATGTATATTCAGAAGAAGCCATCATGACTGCAATGGCA